ATGTTTATTTTCATGTTTGTGAAAATATCTGAACTATGATTTTATCTTAATACTTCATCATCACATATATATTCTTTATAAAAATTGAATACAGTAAAACTGTTTATGTATAGAAGAATTTCAGTGCGCTACAACACGTCATCATTATTAACCCATAAAGGTTAGTTAGTTTCAATCTGAATAAACTCTCACATCATCTATGGCATCACAATGAATCATTTAGACGCTTAATAATAAATATTCTAGTATATTCTGACTGACGTAAGATTATAATTGAATTACATCATTATAAATTCGAGTGGAAACTTCTTTTGTTTATTTTTTATTCGATTAACATTTGGAAGTGTGGCAAGAAGATGAATCATTCTAGACATGAAAGCTAAGTTTCTTAAAAAAAATGTTCAATAAAGACAAATTAATCTGAACGAACAGATCCAATAAAAAAATATAAAACTTCGTTTTCAAAACAAAACATGAATTTTATTGAGCATATAAAAAAAAATAACGTTTCTATTAACACAAAATGTGCTGGAATATTGAGTTTATTACAAGATGAGAAAAAAATGAATACACAGTTACTGTACAAAAAATATAAACTCGTGACTATAAAATACAAAAATAAAAAAAAACAACCTATGTATCATATTTAAAATAAGACTATTCTTATTTATCGTACTTGATTAAGTACCATAGCATTTGTTGTAGAATTGAGAAGGTATATTTTTGTTCTTTTTTAAGTTAAGTTCTTGTTGAAGTTGTTGTATTATCTGCTTCGGATTGTTCTTCTTGATCTTCACTAGCTGATTGTTCTATATTTTCTTCTATTGTTGTGATATTTTCTGTTTCGTTTTTGTGAGATGTTTTTGTTTTTCGAATAGTTGTTCGAGAAGACATACTTGCATCATGAATATCATCATTATGATTTATTTCGGATGATGAATCATAAATACCATATGTTTGTGCCCAAAAATCAAGATCTTTTAAAGTATTTCGTTGATTTTCGAGTTTTGACTTAAGATCTTCAAAAATGTCCTGTTGTTCAGTTAAATGTTCTGATGAAAAAGCTGCTTCATTGAATTTAATTAAAGTTTCACCAATTAAATCCAATCGTTCTTGTTCTAATACTCGACACTCTTCATAAATTTCTCTTGCTCTTGTACGGTAAATTTTTTGTTCATCATTATATTCTTTTTCAGTTTGTTTAATTTCCCGTTTAATTTCAGCTAATTTATCTTTTCTTTTGTTTTGTTTATCTTTTGCATTTGTGATTTTGTTTTTACTTATTGTTTCATCAGAAAAAAGATTTTCATATTGAATATTAGCATCATCAAGAGCATTTTCTGCTCTTTGTTGTTGTTCATGTAATTGTTCGAGTTTATTTGATAAACAGGATAATGATGAATAAGCAGCTTTAAATAAGTTCTTCTTTACATTTGTACGATAATGTTTATGACTAGTACTTAAACGTTCACTGGGATACATTCGTTCCACTTGTGTACGATATGTAATAATAACTTCTAGAATAGCTTCATGTTGTTTTTGTAAAATTTTAGCACGTCGTTCAGGTGTACGAATTGTTTCAAGTTGAGCACGCTTAGTTGTATTATACGATGACAATACTGATTGTTGTCGTAATTTTGATTTCCATTTTTTTGAATAAGAATTAAAATCATCGATATGTTTTTTTAAAAGATTGCAATAACTTTCCATATAATCAATTAAATCCATGGAAATTCCATAGCCTAGTACAATAAAAAAAATAACAATAATGTAAAAATCATAGTGGATTAATAATCAACAAAACTTACCATCATCGAGACATATAAGAATTAACTTGTAATTTTTACGATGAAAAAAATTTTCTTCATTGTATCTACGATGTGTACGATTGTTTCTATTCTCAATAGCCGAAGCATGAGAAGCGAAGCTACCTGTATATCCTATACAGGATACAAGATTCGTTGAAATTGTGCGATGTGCCATAATTAATGTTAATAATGGATTAATTTTTGAATGATGTTTTATAATGTAAGATGAAAAAGATTTATAAAAGAGAAATGATTATGTTGTAAAATGAAATGAAATGAAATGAATAGCATCAAAGATTTTGTACTTATATATACTTCGCGATCAAGAAAGAGAAAAGGAAGAAGAATTACTTTTTTTCCTGAATATGTGGAATTAATCCAAGGTAAAAGATGAAAATGATCTTCGATAGACGACTTCGATTCATCGAAATAAAATTTAGATTCAAATGAAAACAAAGAACGAGCACAAAAAATAACAGAGAATGACAATTGGAAAAAGCCAATCGACATTTTTTTCTCTCAGTAGCAACTCTTTTTACTTCCCTTTTGTTTTACAAGATCAATAAATAATTCACGGAAAACAAAAAAAAAAGACTTCTGAATTGAAAATTTAAGAGAATAATCACTATTATTGCGCAAGAAATCCTTCATTAGAATATTAATAAAAAAAAATCCTTAATGAATCATCATATGCAGTAAAATCAAATTTGTAGGAAATAGACTTTAATACTATTCCTTAAGTTGGAATTTACCAATAATTATTTATATTGATCTCCTTTATGCAAAAACTCGAAGATTTTCATTTCATTTTCTTAGTGTACTGTATTTAGTTTGTTCGAAAATATTAATCTCAAAAGATGCAGGATGATAAAATTCAAATTCTGAATAGAAAAATAAAAGTTGAGAAACTTCAATAAATAATTGAACAAGAAAATAAATGTAGAAAATAATGAATAGTTCACAGGTTTATTCTTATTCAGTAAGCCAAAACCATATGTACATGACAATCAATATATTGATCAACCAGAGTTATCAATGGGCTAAATTAATCCATTTTTGTGGTTAACATTGATCCATGGATTATGAGCTTTTACGTTTCGATAATTGGTAGCCAATGTATCGAATTTTAAATAAAGAACACAAAACTTTGTAAAGTTGTCGCATATTATCAATGTAAAACTTTTTCGTTCGAAAATTCAATTTTTTTGCTTTAATTGGCTTTAACTCTCTCCAATGAAGAGCGAGTCAATACACGAAACAGAAGTGAGAGTTTACACACGAAAATTGAAGTAATGATAATTTACTGATAAAACTATGAACTTATCGATATACAAAAGCGACAATTCTATTGACTCATGCATGTTCTTAGTTTACATAGTCCACTGGAATTTGACCAGTCTTGTGTTGGCGTATGATAATTTTATTCAACGAAATGTTATTGCCTCTTTCTTCGCTTACACGAACAAATTGTGAGTCATTGTATAAAATAAGAGAAGAACTAATCATGATGAATAGTTTTGACTAATAAAGCAAGCTTAACTGTCTACGTGGAAAATGGTTCACTAGATTGACAAGACTCATACACACTGAGTTGACTAATTTATGAAAGAGAGATCATTGGCTAGACTGGGTCAAAGTTTAGTTGTCTGTACACTGACTTTCAAACGTCTAGTCGAGTCTATTGCAAGTTTTCTTAGCGAAATTAATACATGCATTGATAATTTTATATCAAAATTAGAAATAAAACGTATTTTTGAATAGATTTAATATTTTTTCTCGTCTACACAGACTATCGAAAGAACCGAAATATAAACATTGTTATCGTGTTTTCATCAAATGAATTAATTATTTGTCTTCTGATTGAACAGAATTGCTGAACATTTTTATTTCAAATAGCTTAAAATTCATAAATATTGTTAAAATCGATTTCTACACATATAAATATAAAAGTTTCCAAGCTTTCAAAAATACATATATGTCGTATCGAAGTTAATTTTATTTCATTTATCAGTAAATAATTTACTAAAATCGAATATCATATTGCTGAATATATGATAAAAAATTTTTTCCCAATAAATACTCTTTATTCAAAGATATGGTGGGATATATGGTA